TATATATATATATATATATATATTCATTATCATAAATTTATTGAATTACAAAGACATTTATGATGATACCATAATGTTTATTTCAAACATCTAATATTTAAAAAATTATAAAATGAATTAAATAAATTACAATTAAATAATTAAAATCTTTAGGATATCACTGACTGTATCTCAAAATACATGATTATATATTACATTAGATTTGATATATTAAATGCTTCATCTCAGTATTTAGTTTTAAAAACATTTGTTCTCTTCCATATTTTTGCAAATCTCATCAAATCCCCATCTGTCGCTAGAAACAGAAGCATCTTACCTGGTGATAGTGCTGATCACTGGCTTCTATTCACTGCTTGAACTGCTCAACCTTACTGTGAGGAGCTGCTCTATGTTGTAAACAACCACCTTATGGAACTGTCGCTCACTCAACAGCAGCGAATGACCGATCAGGGATGCTGAACAGCCCCGCCCACTCGAGAACAAAGGCACAGCAGAGGATGAATTACAGCCTGGTACTAGTCTGGCTTTTACTCATTTTAAAGCAATTTCTATTAAGATTTACATCCCACTGCTCCTACACTCTATTTTACCCTTGTGTCTATTATCCCTGGCCATTACGTTTGCATATCTCAGTTGTAATAGTAACAGATCAGTGCTTAGGAATAATAAAGAAATTAAAAAAATTCATTAGGAGAGATCGCAAATCTTTATTCCACATCAAAAAGTATGATTTTTTTTTTTTTAAATGTCATGCTTAACATTGTGGAGCAATGGGCTAATATAGTGTAGTGTAAGATGTATCCTTGCTGAATGGACTGTTATTATTTTTTTTTAGCTCTACTGCGTATTCAGACTCATTCAAATGTTAAATGTATTACACTAGGAACAACTACAGGGATCAATAAAATGTTATGACAGCTTTTACTGAGGTAAATGTGCATGCACGTTCACTGAAAAAAAATATTTCAGTACTTGTCTCAATGTTTTTTATTATCAATGGCAAAAATGTGCACATACACTGTGAAATACATATTAAATACTTTTAATACCAATAAACATTATTACAAATATTCTGCAACAAAATAAGGCAAATACATTAGATTTTTAAATGATATTTCTTTCTTGTCTATTTATTCACATTATGGGCTCTACATTATATAAAATTTTGAATTACCATTCTTACGGCTTATTATTATTATCATTGTGCATGAGTGAAAGTCAAACAATGTTACATTTTTTTTGACCCATTTGCTTTCCTTTGTGAAAAATAAGGCTAAGTAACAGTCTGCTGTTTATCCAATGAAGCTTATTTAGAGAAAGTCGTGGCACCTTTGGATATTGCTGTATTATGATATTATATAATATGTTAAGATGATAAAAGTGATAATTTAGCTACAAATATGTTCCTTTTCCTGAGATAGCACCATTTTGTCACTGCTGGTGCTTTAAAGATGGTGTTCAGATGCATGATACATGCCTGAACAGCTTCATCATGTAGTTGAATCAGCTTAAGACCGCATGTATTTCTTAATGATACGTTGCATATCAGCGTACCTGAAATAACAGGAAATAAGGGCACAGAAAATAAATGAGTGCACATAATGATTTCAAATGCCTCTAAAATGTATAACGTGTGACTCAGTCTGTACCTCTTCTTCAGTTTCTGCATCTCTCTTTCTTCTTCCTCTTGCAGCTTAGCAACGAAGCTTTGTAAAACAGGAAGCTCAAACTTGATGTATTGTGCCACCTTGAGGACAAAATGAAGAATTACAACAGTATATACATACAAACTTGCACTGTACTGTAGTCACTTTGGCTGGATTCAGTACCCTAACATCCTACTCTTACTGTTTCTGTAATAAATAGTAAGAATTCAGTATGCCATTTTTCTGACCTTCTACTTAAGCCAAAATGTGCAGTATACAACCAGACACATTATGTAGAATATTGCATCCCACAACGCAATGTGCATGACCTTCCATAACAAATGTAAAAAAAAATGGGAAGTAATAAAAATGTGAAACATTTGAATAAAAGTATCTTAACTTATTCTTTATATATTTGAAATATCTTCAGATTTTAGAAATAGCAATCTAAAATTTAAATTATTTGATCAGACTGGCAAAAGTTTTTTTGTCCATTAAAAAAAGTTATATATATAAAATAACATATAAATATATAATTTATCAAACTCATTTGTTTGGAGATTTAATACTTCATTTAATGAATTTTAGGTTTTATTAACAATTTAGTTATGTATTTACCGATTTATTTAAATATCTAAATATGTATTTAATTATTTAATTTTGGCCCTACATAAGACAAAGAGGGTGGAAGGTAGGTAGGTAGGTAGGTAGGTAGATAGATAGATAGATAGATAGATAGACAGACAGACAGACAGACAGACAGATAAACAGACAGACAATGTGATATTTGGTCTCTTACATCATAGGTGACCTCTTCTACCTGGTCCGTCTCCATAAGGAACATTTTGCTGACCTGTTCACAAGGGCCTTGCAAAACTCTGAGCGCCAAAGGATAGTCATTAGGCTTCAGCTGATGTCTCTCTGAGAGCAGGGACAGAAATATGAACTCAGGGGCAAAGAAACTGCAATATGATGCATTTCATCTCAGTTCGGACGTACCTCCATTCGTGTGGACGATATAGAGGCTGAATTCATCCGGACTGTTCTCAATCTTGAACTTGTAAAGCAGCACTCGCATGACCTGTGCTGTCGTCATACAGCTGTTGACGCGGACATTGGTCACAGAGCCGAACGCTGGGGTAAAAACTGCCGTCTGTTTGACAGAAACAAGTGTGAGCAAAGGCATGAGGGTTTGATAACGTGCATACAGTTCACGAAACACGACGCCCACCTTGTGGTTATAAAAGTGGCCGTTGAAGGAGCATCGGTTTCTCTTGACTCTCCTGATTCCAAGTCGTCGTCCGTTAATTCTCCTTCCACAGACATCACTCTTGGTCCTGGGGAGCCGATCGGAGTGTGTCGACTCCTGCTGTTCCTCACCTGCCAGATGAGATGTAACAAATCCAACGAGACAGACACAGTCGTTCAGATATGATGCGTAGACAGTGAATACTGTGTTTTTTTTTTTTGAAAAAAAACAAAAACAAAAAAAAAAGATTCAAGAATGTATTCACCTGCCTCTTCCTTCTCTTCGCTGAAGTCTTTTGATTGGTCGTCTGCTGTAGTGACCTCACTGGAAATAGACAGCTCATTTGTTTCATGAATTATTGATTATCTGTAAAGTTGCCTAAATGTTCCTTATAATAAGCAGCACAACTGTTTTCAATATTGATAATATTTCTTTATCAGCAAATCTCAGTAATAAATTACATTTTAAAATATATTTTAAAACTTAATTTATTGTAATAATATTTCACAATATTAATTTCACTGTTTTTGATCAAATAAGTGCAGCCTTTGTGAGCATAAGAGACTTATTTCAAAAACGTTAAAAATTCTCACTGCCCCTAAACTTTTAAAGTAGTGTAAAAGTTTTACGTAATTTTATAAAACAGATAGTTTCGGTCCTTGATTCTGATTGGTTGAGCCGCGTTCGAAGCTGTTGTAAATTACTCTACACACATACACCTTTGTTTACTTCTGTGTGTTGCTCGGCAACCACTTTGTTGGAACCACAACTGTTTCTGAGGAACTACATTGTTTGGTGGAAGAATACTGTTTTTATT